AGTTTGTTTACATTTACAGGAGATAATGCTGGCTGCTACTTATTTACGATGTCCCCTGAAAGTGAGAAAAGGTGTTCGTGTTACGCTTTTAGCTGGCGTTGCAAAGTATTTACATGCCAAATATGCTTAACATTCATATCCCCCTTCATGCTTTGACTTGTGTATTGCACTCACTTTCTATTTTTTTTACAGTGCATATTTTTTATTAAAAATATTTGAAGTATTCTGCATTGTAATTGAAATCAATATTTTTTGAAAATGTAGAAAAACATCCAAAAATATTTATAATAAATCAAAAATTGGTATTCTGTTATTCACAGTGCAATTAAAACTGCAATTAATTGTTTTAATCACAATAATTTGACAGCCCTACTAAGTATGTGAATTATTTAGTAATTTCCCATAATTGTACAGTAAGTAGTTAAATTACTAATTAAAAACATTGAGTCTATCAGTTATCTAGTTTTTTATGACAAAAATACTATTACTGACTAGAACAGGGCTTGGATGACTGGGCAGCCTAGTGGTTAGATAAGAACATAAGAACGGGCATACTGGGGTCAGACTAAAGGTCCATCTAGCCCAGTATCCTGTCTTCCAACAATGGCCAATGCCAGGTGCCCCAGAGGGAATGAACAGAACAGGTAATCATTGAATGATCCATTGCCAGCAGCTCATTCCCAGGTTCTGGCAAACAGAGGCTAGGGACACCATCCCTGCCCATCCTGGCTAATATCCATTGATAGACCTACCCTCTATTAACTTATCGAGTTCTTTTTTGAACCCTGTTATAGTCTTGGCCTTCACAACATCCTCTGGCAAGGAGTTCCACAGGTTGACCGTGCGTTGTGTGAAAAAATACTTCCTTTTGTTTATTTTAAATCTGCTGCCTATTAATTTCATTGGGTGACCCCTAGTTCTTGTGTTATGAGAAGGAGTAAATAACACTTCCTTATTTATTTTCTCCACACCAGTCATGATTTTATAGACCTCTATCATATTCCCCCCAGTCATCTCTTTTTCAAGATGAAAAGTCAGTCTTATTAATCACTCCTCATATGGAAGCTGTTCCATACGCCTAATATTTTTTGTTCCCCTTTTCTGAACATTTTCCAATTCCAATATATCTTTTTTGAGATAGGGCAACCACATCTGCACGCAGTATTCCAGATGCGGGCGTACCATGGATTTATATAGAGACAATATGATCCTTTCTGTCTTATTATCCATCCTTTTCTTAATTATTCCCAACATTCTGTTTGCTTTTTTGACTGCTGCTGCACATTGTGGATAGTTCTCTGAAAACATCCACTCAATGATTCCAAGATCTCTCTCTTAAGTGGTAACAGCTAACAAACCCCTTCATTTTATAGGTATAGTTGAGATAATGTTTTCCATTATGCATTACTTTGCATTTATCAACACTGAATTTCATCTGCTATTTTGTTGCTCAGTCACCCAGTTTTGAGCGATTCCTTTGGAGCTCTTCGCAGTCTGCTTTAGACTTAATTATCTTGAGTAGTTTTATATCATCTGCAAATTTTGCCACCTCACTGTTTACCTCTTTTTCCAGATCATTTGTTAATAGGTTGAACAGTACTGGTCCCAGTACAGACCCCTGGGGGACATCACTATTTACTGCTCTCCATTCTGAAAACTTACCATTTATTCCTACCCTTTGTTTCCTGTCTTCTAACCAGTTACCAATCCATGAGAACCTTCCCTCTTATCCCATGACAGCTTAGTTTGCTTAAGAGCCTTTGGTGAGGGACCTTGAAAATGTAAGTACACTATATCCACTATATCTCAGCCCCCTGCTGGCTGAGTAGCCTCAGCCTTTAAGGCTGGGTGGAGGATGGGGCACCCAGGCCCTCCATCTCCACCAGGTCCCAGCCTAGGGCCCTGTATGTCAAACCCTGAACAGTGGGCTTGGTGTCCCTCCTGGCAGGGAGAAGTTACTGTCCTGGGCTACTTACTACCAGACCGTTCCATTTGGGGCATGGCCCCTCTAGTCCAATCTACCAGGCAGCTTGCTTCCCACAGGATTCCCTCTGGGGTGCAGACAGAACCTTGCTGTCATCCCAGACTCCTTCAGGCAGGACAGCCACAAGCTGGTGAGGTTGACCCACACAATGTCTCTGGGGTTCACTCAGCCAGTTACTTCCCATGCTGGGGATTCCTCCACAGCCTCCCTTGGTTGGGGAGCCAGTGCTCCAGCTCTTCAGGCAGGGAGACAACTAGCTCCTGTCTCTTCCCCAGTCAGCCCTGAACTGAGCCAAGCTCCCTTCTTTTATCCCCCCTCCAGGCCTGGCATTGGTTGCAGGTATAGTGGGGCGGGGCTAGCTGGGCCCAGAGGTTTTCTTTAACCCTTACTGTGCTGGTTGGAAGTTTCTTTGCTTCATCACACTGAATATCACTAAAGATCACCACCACAGAATGGATAGATTCTCTTACCACTCCTAAGAAATAAATGACTAGCCATAGAATCAAAGAAATATAGGGCTGGAAGGGATCTTGAGAGGTTGTCTACTCCAGCCCCCTGTGTTGATGCAGGCCCAACTATACATTTACTATTCCTGACAAGTGTTTATCCAACCTGTTCTTAAAAACCTCCAGAGATGGGGATTCCACAAACTCACCAGTTAACCTCATTCAGAACCTAACTATCCTTATAGTTTAGCAAGGTTTTCTGAATATCTAATCTCAAAATCCCTTGCTGCAGATTAAGCCCATTACTTCTTGTCCTACCTTCAGTAAACATGGAGAATAACTGATCACCGTCCTTTTTATAACAACGCTTAACATATTTGAAGACTGTTATCAGGTCCCCCCTCAGTCTTCTTTTCTCATGTCTAAACATGCCCAGGTTATTTAACCTTTCCTCATAGGTCAGGTTTTAAATAAATAAATAAATAAATGGAGATATCCCATCTCCTAGAACTGGAAGGGACCTTGAAAGGTCATTGAGTCCAGCCCCCTGCCTTCACTAGCAGGACCAAGTACTGATTTTTCCCCAGATCCCTAAGTGGCCCCCTCAAGGATTGAACTCTCAACCCTGGGTTTAGCAGGCCAATGCTCAAAACACTGAGCTATCCCTCCCCCTGTAATTTCTAAACCTTTTATCCTATGAAGAAAGGTTGCTCTCCTATGGTCTCTTTTCAATTTGTCCACGTCTTTCTGAGGGTGCGATGCTAAAAACTGGACACAATACTTCAGCTGAGGCCTCGCGGGTGCAGAGGATAGTGGAACAGTTAGCTCCTGCATCTTACATATGATACTCCTGTTCATTCACCCAAGAATAATATTAGTCTTTTTCACAACGGCTTCACATTGTTGCATCCTGTTCAGCTTGGGATCCACTATAGCTCCCGGATGCTTTTCTGTAGTACTAATGCCTGGCCAGGTATTCCCCCTTTTGTATTTGTTCATTTGATTTGTCCTTCCTCAGAGTAGTATGGTGCACTTGTCTTTATTTAATTTCATCTTGTTGATTTCACACCAATTCTGCAATTTATTGAGGTCATTTTAAATTCTAATCCTGGCCTCCAAAGTGCTCTCAACCCCTCCCAGCTTGGTTTCATCTGCAGTTTTTATAAGCATAGTGTCCACGTCATTAGCCAAGTTGTTAATGAAAATATTGAATAGTATTGGACTTAGGACAGACCCCTATGGAACCCTTCTGGATACTTCTAATGTTATGAAGTAAAAAATTATTTCTCTCTGTGGCTACCCAGCTCTTGAGGAAGGAGGCCGGAGAACCAACAGCACTGGGAACTCAAGACGAGGCTGAATTCATTTGTTAGTGTAGAGTGTTTTTGACAGTGATAGATACCTGACTGGGCACCGGCAATGGGATAACAACAGGGAGAAAGCAATAGGTCTGAGTGGGAAGGGAGAGGGATTACTGGAAGGTCAGTCTATCCCAGGGGTCACAGGATGGAAAAGTGCCATTGAAAAGCATAATGCAGTTGAGATTGAAGCAGAGATGCCTGTGAGTGAGCTGGTGGGATTGTGGCTGGGGCAGCAGGTTCTGAGAGGGGACTCTGGCTGTTTCAGGGACTGGTGACCTTCGAGGAGGTGGCTGTGTATTTCACCAAGGGGCAGGGGGCTCTGCTGGACCCTATTAGAGAGCCCTCTACAGGGACGTCATGCAGGAGAATTAGGAAACTGTGACCTCACAGAGTAAGTATCCCTGTCCCCTTGGGTGTTAGGATCTGGGTGGTCTCTGCAGGTCAGCTTCAGCTCCAGGATCCTACAGCCCTTGCTCCTAAGATATCTGGGGTGATCAGCACTTGCAGGTGCTAGGCCTGTGTGAGAGAGAGGGTCACCTCTACACCTCATTCCATTGGTATGGAAACTCAGGACTCAGTGTTAATCTGGGAATCCCCAGGGTTTCAAAAGAGAGTGACTCCCTGTGTCCCCTGTCTGGGGTTGGTTCCATCAAGGGGCGGTGGAAGCTTCCTAAAAGTGGGGGAGCCACCAGTGCCTGAACTGTGGCCCTGCCCCCACCCTCAATCCCCTGGAGGCCCCACCCTCGCACCACCTTTTCTCCTGAGGTCCCACTTCTGCGATGCCTCTTCCCCCCAAGACACTATCCCCCGCTTGCTCTTCTCTACACCCTGCCCCTCCTCGCTCACCCAATAAAAAGTGGAAGGGCCATGCCCCCTCCCCCCCTGCTCTGGTGCCCCTGATTCTATCCCTGGGGTCGCTGGCCCCTTACCGTGTTGTGACAAGCGGCTTATTATCTGCTCTCTGCCTAACTCATCAGTTCCCCGTGTCTGGAGATCCATGAGTTTACCCCAGGAGACACACGGCACGTCTCCCTGCAGGCACTAGGCTCTCCCACAGGGTCTCGTGAACACGTTCCCCATCCGTGAGGATCAGATCTCCTCCCTGCAGAGAAAAGGGCTGGGTGTGACGTTATGGGATGTTCTCTTGTGGGAAATGCTGAATGGAGACTTAGCCCATCCTGATCTCACCCATTTCCTTCTGATGAGCAGAATCCCCAAACCGGACTCCATCTGCCACATGGACCAAGAGGAAGAGCCCTGTGTCCTGGACTCTGAGGATTCTTCAGAAAAGGAGACTCCGAGAGGCCCTCAAGCAGGTAAGAGATAAAGTTAAACCCACTCCCAAACCTTCCAATGCCCCTGTGGGCTCCCCCTTTTCATGGTTCAGTCAGGATTGTCCCCAGCAGCTGTCGTACCCTCATGGCAGATGGCGCTCCCGGCCTCCCACCCATCCTGACCAACACCCAGCAGTAGCTCCCTCCCCACTGAGTGTCCAGATGGGATGTGGAGGCAGAATGGGTCCCCTCATCTCCCTTCTCTGGGGAAGGGTTTGAGGAATTCACTTGCGGTTACTGATCTTATCATCCAGTTTTAGTTTTGTTTGTTTTATGGAATCTTACAATCGTAGAATTGTAGAACTGGAAGGGGACTCAATCGGTCATCAAGTCCAGTCCCCTGCACTCAAGACAGAACTAAATGCACTCCCCTTTTCCATTTCTCTTTCTGAGGTTCTCTGTCCCCGGCACAGGGGAGGACTCATGTCTGGATTCTCTGTCCCAGCAGGTGATGGGATGGTAAGTGAGAACGAGGAGGAGAATCCTCAGCAGGAAGATCCTGAGCAAGTGGAATCACAGTGGACAGTATCGGGAAGAGATAAAGGTGGTGTTTCCCTGAGTCCTGAGCTGGGAGAAGCCCGGGAGAATCACCCTTATAAATGCCCCGACTGCGGGAAAAGCTTCCGATGGAGCTGCCGCTTCATTGAACATCAGAGAATCCATACAGGGGAGAAAACCTCTATCTGTGCCGACTGCGGGGAGAGCTTCAGTCGTTACTCAAACTTCACAAGACACCGCAGGATTCATACCGGAGAGAAACCCTACAGCTGCCCCGACTGTGGGAAAAACTTTGGTCGCACTTCTGACCTCATTATACACCAGAGACTGCACACGGGAGAGAGACCCTACAAATGCCCTCAGTGTGGGAAAAGCTTCAGCCGCAGCTCGTACCTCATTCCTCACCAGAGGACACACACAGGAGAGAGGCCCTATAAATGCCCTGACTGTGGGAAGAGCTTCAACCTGAGCTCAAACCTTATCAGGCATCAGAGGATCCACACGGGAGAAAAACCCTATAGATGCCCTGACTGTGGGAAAAGCTTCTATCTGAGCTTACACCTCATTAGGCACCAAAGAGTCCATATTGAAAGAAAATCCTATGACTGCCCCGACTCCGGGAAAAAGTTCATTCGGAGCTCAGCCCTGATTATACACCACAGACTCCACACGGGAGAGAGACCCTATAAATGCGCTGACTGTGGGAAAAGCTTTGGCATGAGCTCAGACCTGATCAGACACCAGAGATCCCATACGGGAGAGAGACCCTACAAATGTGGTGAATGTGGGAAAAGCTTCAGCATGAGCTCCAAGCTCATCAGACATCAGGGAACACATGTGACAGAGAAACCTTTCCGTTGTCCCGAATGTGGGGAAGGCTTCGCCACCAGCTCCAAACTCGTTAAACATCAGAAACACCACCTGGAACAGAAACCCTACAAATGCGGGGACTGCTGGAAAAGCTATAGCCACAGTTCTGAACTCCTCAGGCATCAGCGAGCCCACACGGGAGAGAGACCCTATAAGTGCTCTGACTGTGGGAAAGGGTTTAGTCGGAGTTCGCACCTTATCAGGCATCAGAAAATCCACAGGAGATAGGCACGGGTCCTGGTTCTTCCTCTAGGGCTTTTCAAACAAATTCAGTTATAAATAATTGGTGGTGTGGAGATTCATGTGTGGGAGAGGCACAGGCAAGGGTGAAGGGGAAATGCGGAAGAAGAAAAAGAAGTTTGGGGGCTGGTGCATCAGTTGTTTGGGGTTTGTGGGGAGGGACCTGGGATTTTATTTTTTTTGTCTCAAAATTCCTTAAATTTCCCATGCTCATTCCACACCCTTTTTCTCTGGCCTGGCAGGATGTGGGACAGCAGGTGAGATGGAACTTGAATTATATAATTCACTAGGGCCAGAGGCTAGATTTTCTTGACTAGGGAAACTGAGGAGTTGCACTGACGCTACGCCTAAAGGAAATGCCAGTCTGATGCTATATGGAGAGGATGTGAGATGCGACACCATTCCTACTGTCACCCGTGTTTCCAGCACCAGAGTATGAGAGACAGCAAATTTGTAAATGGAGAGGGGGAAATACCACAGATCGGCATATGATTTACCTGTGGCTCTCACTGCTGCAAGAGCAGACAGGTCTGTAATGTATCTTTACAACACCATAGCACAGGCTGGAAATCTGCATTGTAACATCCAATGGAGCTGGACAGTTCATGTCCAGGCTCTGGATTTAACCTGATACGTATATAAAAATGTGTACACATGTATGTATATTATTTCCCAGGTGAAACCTGCATCAGTGCAAGTTAATAGCTTCTCAGTGAGTGGCATCTGTGTCACACAGAGTACGTTCCTGGTTTAAACATTAGAGCCCCTTTTGACCCCCAATTACTTGTCTTGGGGTACCGAGTTTCACCCAAGGTACCTAGAACCCAATGACATAGAATCAGTGAATGATGGTGAGAATGCTGAGACTGGAGAACTCGCTGCATTAGCTGCACCCAGCTCATTATTTCTATGAGGAATTGTAGCTGGCATGCAGGGGAAAAGTTAAGGAAGCACCTAGCAGGCAGCTCACAGAGTTATAGTCCAAGGGCCAGATTTCCATAGGTATTTAGGCACCTAAAGAAACCTATGGCAGTTAGGCACCTTACCTGGTTAGGTGCTTTTGAAAATCCAAGTAGGCACCTAACCTGCATCTTTAGGCATCTTTGAAAAACTGGCCCCGAGTGATCTCACAAGCAGTGAAGCTGCCATCAGCTCAGGGAGAGAGAGAAACAGTCGCTTGACTCAGTGAGGTCAGATGTAGAGTCTTGAAGAGGTGCTTGTGGTTCCTGATGTTTGTTTAAAACTACACAGGAGCACAGTGCACTAAAAGGTGAATTAATACATTACCCATGGTTCTGCCTGGCTGGGTAATTTAAAAAGCAGTTCGAGAGCAGCTTTAAAACCATTCCCTTTTTAAATGTGGGGTTTGCCACAAGTGGTGTTTAGGTGAGTCTAAGCATGAGAACCGTGACTATAGGAAAATAGGGACATGTGGTGTCTAGGTGAGTCTGTGTGTGTACAAAAAACATTTCCCTGGGGAAACAATTTGGAAAGGGAGTTAATGTACATAATCATTACAGTTCTTTTGCATCCCTGACTTTAGCATGAATGTTGACATTTTGCTCGGCTAACGCACGAACTCTTTACCTAGTTAGCTCTGTGAACTTCTGCACTGGAATAGCGGAGCCAAGCTCCCATCTGGTCACAGCAGGCTGCTGCTTCAGTGCAATGGGTGATACAGCCCATGAGCTGGAGTGTGGTTGGTTCCTTGCGGGGCTGTGGATGGAGATGGCATTTATACCGGGCTGTGTGGGTGCTTTACTCTCCTGAGTTTGTGCTGTCTGCTGGACAGTAATAAAAAGCTGATCCTAAATGTCTATTTGAGCAGCATAACTACATTGGTCAAGAGTGTGTTTTTTCTCACACCCCGACCCACTATAGCTATGCCGACATAACTTTTAAATGCAGGCCAAGACTCAGTCCGTGCTTCACTGAGGAGGAGAGGGGACTGGGGCTTCTCATCGGACTCTCGTGTGTTTATTACCACGTTGTCGAATTTGCATTTTCAGGGCCTTCTTCCCTACAGGGGGATTTCAGAAAACGTTGCTGTCTTTCCTCTTCATATAAGCGGCTGATCGTGGAAAGAGGAGACCAAAGGAGGTGGGGGAAGGGCACGTTAGGATACCCAGGACGGATGGAAAGTGCCCCCATATTGAAAGCATCTGCTGGTGCTGAGCTGCAGGCACTGTCATGCTAGTTTTGCTCTAGCTTGGGAGAAGGCAAGATCCCTCCTCTGCCATGTGGGGAGCATAGGGAAGGGGTTTCATTAGCTGCTGCCCCCAGAGGGCTCAGGTGAGTGCTAAGGTAAGGAGGCTGTTTTCTCTTTCTCCCTCTGCTAAGCATACTGGGAATTGAGCTTCCTGGGTCAGATGCTGCTGCTGCCTCCATGTGATCTGGGAGCCTGGCTGAGCAGCTGCTGCTCCCCCACTGGGGTCTGTGCCCACTGTCGCTCTCCCCCCAACCTGGAGGAGCAGTGCATTGCTTTTCATCTGTTCCCTACCCTTTGGCTGCTCTGGCTTGGGTAGCCCTATCCGGACTTAAAAATCCCACTTGCATAATTGTTATGGTCATTGGAAGGCTCATGGGTTTCACCACTTCAAGG